AGCGAAACACTCTGTCTGTGGATGACAAATATACGCCACCAGCGAAAATGCTTAAATTCATTTGTGCACTCTTGGAAATAATGATTAATATTACAAGCTCTTATCGAATTGAGCACTATCAGTCATTAGCGTGCTTATTCACAGAGGAAATTTCAAAATTTTGATTTTCTTTCAACCGTGCACAGATGGGTTTTTAACTGTTTGCTGAATTTCGATCCCAGGCTGAAGAAGGATATTTAGACACACTGATGAGCTGTGATACAGCGAACAGTTTAGTGATGATGAATGAACATATATATATATATATATATATATATATATATATATATTCATCAACAACTCTGACTGACAAAAAATCGGTTGGAGGTTTCGATCTGGGCTTGAGGCACTCTATTGTCTAGTCTCACAGAGGAGCTGTGATACAACGAAATAGTACTTCTGCAAGTTATAATATATATATATATATATATATATATATATATATATATATATTAGGAAATTTTAAGATATTCGAATGAGGCTGAAAATTATTGTTTTTTCTTTTTAATTTTCCAAACCCAATAATTTGATGATAAAAACAATTAAGAAAATCACCAAATATGTACAAGAAATCTCAAGATACCAAATTTAATACTAAAATGAAAAAAAAATTTCCTTAATACCTTAGTATAGCAACATCGCACAAACATTCTTTTGTAATTTCTCTGTCGTGTTCGATTTTTCCGTTTTCCCCATAGTAATTTTAGAAAACTGGTTTTCTCTAAGAAACTCCTTCATAGGCAACAGAAATAGATAACGTATCAGCACAGTAATTATCCTTCCCTGACACCACAATGACATATCCTCCGTTCAATACATATTCTAAACTTTGGCCATCTTAAATATAAAATTGACTTCCAACTCGCTATATATGTATCTATTTCTGACTCCCCTCGACTTTACTTTGACAATCTGTCACCTTGGAAATTAGTCTAAATTATAATATATTTATTTCGTTGTTGAAGTTAAACTTTGCTTTCCAAACACAGAACCAAGAACTTAAAAAATCTAATGTTCATGGGAGATAAATAATATTTACTGCGATTGAAATGTACCTTTGATAAGTAAATAAACTGTACGCTTTCCTCGTTAGGCAGAAATATCACATGTAATAAATACAGGAATTTACGTTTCTTTTTTCACCAGAGAACACTATTATCGAAAAACAAGGCAAGCAAACAAACGATAAGAGCGAAAAATCATTTCAGAAGACGGCATTAGATGATCATTTTCCCCATTATTGCCCGTAAGCAGATCCTAGCTGAGCAATGTTCATCATCACTATATAAAATTTTTCATTTGTTATCTATTTGTGTTCATCAACTGATATCCATAATTTCTTTTAATCTGAGAACACTAAATATCGAAAAAACAAGCAAATGTACAGAAAAAAAACGATAATATAAGAAACTGTTGATGAGACCAGCTCAGTTCCGTTGAATTTAAAATCAATATGTATTTTATCATCGACCCTAAAGACTCCCTTTTCAATTATTATCTTCTACGAAATTGCTATACGTTCTTGCCAAATAATATAGCGTGGGGTCAATTTTGTCTATTCAACGCCTAGAGGAGCTATACATCAGACGACACTGCCCCAAATATCCTGGTATTTAAACTACATCGCTTGGAGAATCGAGAACTGATGAATTAATGTCATTCATAAGAATGTTCGTCCAAACCAAGAAGACAGAAATTCCCATCAGTAACAATGTTTTTTGACCATTTTCTAGCATACAATTCCGGGTCCAAAAATCACCGTATTCCCTGGAAGCGTTGCGACCTTTTCCTTTTTAAAATCAAAACTCATTTGAACGAAATTTTAGAAAATCGAAATAATCTGAACGAGACAATAGAGACTCTCCCCAAAAAGATATTTCAAGAATGTTTCCATCATTGTGAAACGACACTAGGAACCGTATATATACTTACGAAGGAGATTAAATGCAGAATTGATATTTTTTTTTGTTTTTTTTTTTTAATTTCCACAGTCAAGTTTTTTAATCGGAAATCGTAACTATTGTTTGATGAGCAAAATTAAACAGAATTCTCTGATAACCTTGATAGAGGAATACTCAATATATTTAAACAAAAATAAATAAATATTAATCTTGAGCTGTCTTTGACACGTATTTTACTGAATTTCTCTTGAGAACGATTGATAATGGAAAACGAAATCATCGAACTGTTGCTTTCAGATATAAGAAGGCGTTTGAACAAGTATTTCAGTGAACATAAATAAACAAGTTCCCATCAATTTCGAAATATGTGTTACTTTTGCGTGACAAAATCATGTTTCTTTTCACTGCAGCTAAACAATAAGTCTCTGAACGTTTTCGTCCGGCTTTTTGTGATGTCAGATGGTGTCTTATCAAAATATTTTGGTCCTACAACTGAAAAGTGATCGAACATAACAGACTCATATTTATATCAGGCAATGAAACGCAGATGATATACATTTTTCTGTCTCAATATAATCAATATTTATGTCTAAATAACGGTGATAATTATTACTGAAATAGAACACGATCTTATTCTTACGGACTTGTCCGTTCAGGAATTTAGCGATCGTGGCTTTTAAAACCTCCAAAACCCAGTAAACCCTGTCAAGTTTTGTCCATTTTTAAACGTCCCTGCCCACGTTTATCCATCCATTAAGCTCAACTCCACAGATGCTTGACCTCAGTGCACCCCGACCCTATTCTCATCTCCCAAAATATCCTCTCTTACATTGAATTCTCCAAGCCATCTTTCTTCAAGGAAAGTCGTCAAAGAATTATCAGTTATTTCTTTCTTATTCTGCGTCCATCCTGTCAATCTAGATTCCATTTTCCATAACTTGGAATATTGCTCCGTTCACAGAATTCCCATGATACATCTGTGAAAACACGTGTCTGTTTTCTCTGGTTTTAAAAACGGATATCATGTTGAAGTTTGTCAAGGGATTTACTGCCATACAGAGGATTGGTGTTACATAAAGTTCAGCATTATTTTTCTTTGTTTCTCGTATTTTTCAGTATTTTAGCCCCACTTTTATGAATAGAATGCATATTTCGCAAATCCAATTCGCCTTCAGATTTCGAAACGCAGTTTCCATCGTCAGTTAAAACACTTCAACAGCTTATATTTATAATTCCGTATTTGGAACTTTGATGATACCGCTGATTCGGATTTCTCAATCTTGGAACATTTCTATTACTGGGAAAAATATATTATGTTTATTTAAACTTAATGATAAAAACTTTCTCCTTGGTTCTTTTTTTTTTCCTTTCCATTTAACCACAATTAATGAAATTGTTATAACTCACTTTACCGCATAATATTATGTCCCTTGCAGAGGCTACTTGTGGCACTCCATTCTTGCTTCCCCGAATTGCTTAAAAAAAAAATAACCTGAATTGAAAAATTGAGTCCTTCATTTAACAGTGTCCTCAAACGGTTCAGTATTTTTGTAACAATCATGATGAGCCATCAGTATATCCTAATGTTTTGACGATTGCTAATAGTCAATTCTGAAATAGAAATTTAACTCATTAACTGCCAAAAGTTTTAATGAGTATTTTTGGTCCAGACAGTTGTCTTAGGAGTTTATTTATTCCTTATGTTTAATTTCAGTAGTTACCATTGTCATTTTTATAGAAACTAGAACATTAAATATATATATTTATAAAAAACATCAAAAAATAATATTGATTAGAAATAATAAAAAAATACTTTTCAAAATAGTCATTATTTTTCTACTCGTGAAATGTAAAATTACGACAGAAAATGTCTTCTTACGGCTAATAATAAAAAAACTTTAAAGGCTAAATTTTGTAAAATATACCTTTGCAAATGCAATGTAATGTAATGTAAATACAAGGAATAACATGTAGTGAGTTTAATTTAATAGATCCCCAAATGGGGCTCATGGCAGGTAATGGGTTATGAATTGTCACATTGAGTTGTCTTTCTTTAAAATCGTTCTCATAATCAGAAACGCCTGGCCATTTTAATCAGCCGTAGAGTCATCGCGTAATTCCGTGCGGCTGTGGCTATGAGCGGGTGGCTTGACAGGTGGGTGATGTTGTGCTTTCGTACCTCCGCTCCTGGAACGCGAACAGATTCTGTTGTTGTTAAGGTCAAATAAGTTCAAGCGAACATATCTTCATTTGTTTCGTCTTGCATGTGAGAAAGCGAGAGAAAGAATAAATCGACAAAACTATTCAGGGTGTGTGGCTATGCTAATCAGGATGGGTATGAAAGGGGTATGTCCATCCCGCCTCCTTACATTATGTACTTTTTTCAACTTGTAAGTATTTGTTCACACGCAGAGGTCAATAGGTACAGTTTTCCCTATATATTTTTTTTTAATTTGTCAGCTGACTGCTTTTATTTACTTATGAAAAAAAATTCATTTTGCTTAAGAAAAAATAAAAATAAAGGGTCGCTTTCTCCTGGGTAGTCGATGCATTTACTTAACCCCCAGGAAGATATATTTATTTACTTATTTAGTCTCCCTATCTTTCTGTCGGTCAGGGGTGGGGTGGGGTCAAAATTGAAAGACGACTGTGGTTAATGCGTAAATCTCTCCGAAAATTTATAGTGAGTTTTTTTCTCACTGTGATATCCACAAATAAAGAAGATATACCTGTTTAGTCTGGCACAAGGCTACAAGCATGGAGTATTTCGTGAGGTTCGAGAAATATTGAGAGATTATTTAGCTGGTTAGATGTTTTTGTTTAGTAGCATATCAACATGTCTATGGGTTATTTAATGCCGAAAAGTAAATATTTTGTACGCAATTTTATTTGTTTTACTTAGGATATTATAATGATTTTAGTGAAACAAGTTTTACTAATTAACCCATTGCTAGGGGGGAAGATGATAGATATCTTTCCCAATGCTATTTGCGCGTGAGTATAACGAATCCAGTATAACAATTCCAAGCCATTATCCAATACACGACCGCACATCCAAACTTACAACACCTGATATTCCCAAACGGTCACCCATCTAGGTACTGACCAGGATCGACGTTGCTTAACTTCGGTGATTGTACGGGAATCGTTGTTTCAGCGCGACGTGGCCGTAAGCCCATGAAATATTGCCGTTCAGCAAGGCACACATGTGATGCATATACATCGCTGTCTTGTCAATGTCGACAATGGATGTAACAGCTTTTCATTGTTATTAATGCTGATTGTTATGAGATAGTCGTTTGCTTAGAGTGCAATTACTCTGTCCGCCGTTAACAATCGTGGTATGCTAGTGTTAAGATTTTTAGTGATAAGACAGGGAGGTAGATTCATGCCTTTCATTGTTCGCGTTTTTTCTCGTACTTCCTTTTTCATTCTTGACAGCATTCCCCTGAAGATGATTGACGAATATACTGATTAAAACTGTGTATAAAAAAAAAAAAAAAAAGATAACTACAATAGTACAAATAAGCTAAACTCTGCCCGACATTAATATTAACGCAAAATTAGCCTACCTAGGGCAATGGCGCCTTAGTCCTCTTTAAAATACTCCTCTTATGACCTTACATGCACATCAGTGTCCCGTCTACGTTTTAAGACAAAGTTCTCCTTGGGGATGGCCATCAGCTGCCTGATTCCCTTAATCTCATCCACGGAATTTTAGTTTTGGGGAAGGTTGTCAACCACAGGGAAAATAATCTGGACTGTAGAAGAGGTGCTGAGAGACCTGGGGTATGCAGCGCTTCCCCACACCCACGCCTCGTGTCTTCTAAATGTATGTAAACAAACTCATTTGGAACTAGAACTGTTCATTGATTCTAGTTGCTGTACTGTTCGTTACGCCACAACACACCTCCAAGGCCCATGATTAATGCCATATTTGCTAAAAAGTATGCTAGGGATACCATAGACCGAACATGTGAGTAACGATGAGGTTCTGAAGAGAATGGAAGCAAAGAGGAAACTTATGCTTATCATCAAGAAGAGGCAGTTGAAATTTATGGGACACATAATGAAGAAGAGGGACTTGGAAAATCTGATACCCACAGGATGGATAGAGGGAAAGAGAGACACGAAAAAGCAACGCGTGACATACTTAATCAACTTGAGAAAATGGATGGCAGAATAGAGTTTATTAAGAGTTGAAGGGACACGGTACATAAAAGAAGATTAAAGTTGGCTTTGATTAATAAGAGCCGTTTGCTGTAGAGGTTCTCGGTTCAAACAATCAACTTTTACAACCCCCCTGATATTTGCTTATTTAGTCAGATTTCAGGAAATAGACCAAACTGAGAACGTTTCTCGTAAATATCATGTGCCTGAGTAATGAAGAATCAGCCGGCTGGCTGTAGTTAGAAACTACAATTCACAAAGCATTATCACATGCAACGACAATGGACGTTAACATTACGCTTTTTTATCTTTTAAGCGCCAAACGATATTTATTAATTAACGTCCTCCTAGTTGAAATTCGCGCCTTGTCTTCATTTTTTCCTTCACAAACTGCAGGACAAATATGTTTTCCGGCGACGCTATAAAATCTATGAGGAATCCTCATTGTTCTTTTTTTTTAGTTTACAAAAATAATTCAACGTTGACGATGAAGGTGTTAATTATTGAGGTCATGCCTTTTTTAATACTCCATTACAGAAATTTCGAGTATATGTTGGCCTTGTTAAAGAAATTGAAACAAAAAGAAAATATAACTATTTCTCAATTTGGAAATTAAAAAAAATTTGGAGATTGGCGTAACATAATCTTCTTACTGTGGTGATGCATGTGTTAAACAGTTGATGTAGGTTCGTTACTCCCTGAGTGGCCACAATTCTAAAATTGTCACTGCTCAGCAAATCTTTCATGTGAGAACCAAAATATGAATGATAAGTGTCATTCATTTGCCCTTGCGACAAAACATGACACTACAAATGAATAACGAAATGATCATTAATTGGTTTGCGCACGCGCACACACACACACGCACGTGAGGGCGAGAACACGCATGCGCACACACATATTGAAAGATATCTCGAATGCTGACTTTCAATGAAGACGCACTAGCTTTGAGTACTTATAAGACATTATTAACATATCTCCTTGAATTTTTGCGTTGTTTTATATTCTAACCTTGCGTTAATATATTGAATATTTTTTGGTTGGTGTATCGGAGTGTCTTTGTCAATGTATGTATGTGTGTGTATGTACGCGTCTTTATCGGTGTTTGCGTGTACGGTCACTTGTGTGTACCTTTCATTGTGTATGTATGTGTTTTCTTCTTTTTTTTTAAGGTCGCCTTTTTGTGTGTATATATATCTAGATACGTCTGCGTGTTTATGTATTATAATCTGATTGTGTATGTATTGTCTTTTGCAAGATGTCATCCTCCCCTGCCTCTGTTTATGCTTCAAATGTTAAACTTAATATAGATTAAATTTAAATTTTAAAATGGGTAATTTTTAATTTCAAATTTTATCGTATAAATTAAATATTTATTAGTTAGTCTATTTCGCTGTGAGTGATCAGACGATGTGCACACATGAATGCCATCATTCTCTTTGAAATGGATGCCCCCACCCTACATCAGTTTGACCTCTTTCCGAAGGTGACTGATATGTGGATAAAAATTATCTCTTAGACCCCTTACCAAAATGGTCACCCCAGCCGTTTCCATAGCAATTATTTTTGCGAATGAACATACTTATAAAGATGCGTAAATTTTATGATTGGTTATTCCTAAATTTTCGCTTGAGGATGAAACAGGGCTTGATACTTTAACTCAATTTAATTGTAATAATTATATTGAGGTTTTCGGCTCTCGTTGTTGAAACATGAGAACTCTTATGTAGCGAAGAAATCATATTTTTAAAAAATAATTATGATATATATATATATATATAAATGAAAAATAAAATATATATAAAAAAAAACTAAAATAAAACTTAAAATTAAATTAATAAATAAATCATTTTGCACGGCCGTGTTCCCAATACCCGTTACACCTGATATTACGCTAGACCATTTCAAAGGCCCAGCTTCCCAAATAATGCCAGGATGCCGATAAAAGAATTTTTAACTACAATGCAGACACTACGGTTCTTAATAATGACAGTGAAAGTCGAAAGTACTTGAACAGAAATAACAAATCTGGACTTTGGACAGTTTATCCACAACTTCGAGCAAAACACTCAGCACCTGATCCAAAAATTGGAAAAATACAAAAAAATTATATATATATATATATATCTGCTAGCTTCAATTTCTTACCCGAAACATAAGCAACGGACATTTTTTAAGGTAGCTGATATAGATTCGTAGAGATTCCAATAAGAGATATACTTTCCTCACATAGGTAATTGAACTTTTGTTCTGTGAGGCTTGTCTCCGAGACAAACAGGTAGCGGCACGCTTTGGCTAAACAAGCGGTTTCCTTGATTAGAAAAAAGGGATACAGATTCCATTCCTTGTTCTTTAGTGGGACTTCTCAATCTAGGCCGGTCACTGTTTAAGAAAAAAACAAAACAAAAAAAAACCGTCATATCGTCACAAACACGTATACCCACTAAAAATAAGGTTTATAGTAACAGCAAAATTGTCCAAATCGTGTAACAGCATGATTGTTCATCAATTATTTAATATATAGAAAACCACGAAACTAACTTTTTTCTAGGTTTTCAGATAAGACGTTTAGTCATCTGGATATAATTTGTTGTATGAATCACTGAAAAACTCTTTGAGTTATTCAGTGAGAAAGAGAACAGGTAAAAATCGTTCTGTTTCAGCCTCACTGTCTTCTCAACTGAGCAATGGTGAGAGGAAAAAGATAATTCAGGCAATGGTATCAACATTTATACTCTGGCTTCTATCTTCAAATTCCATTCAAGAACCATCAAGAGAACGGGGAATAAATTTTAAAAAGAGAGAACAATAGAGAGGAAAATTGGATCAGGAGGTCACAGCAGGAAAAGGGATTATCCTTTCAACTTAGAGCTAAAGATATCAATTAGAAAAGATCCAAATCAATCCATAAGACATTTGGCACGTGAGAGAGGAATTTCAGCTATGACAGTCCAAAGAACAGTGAAAAAAAAAAAAGACTTGTAAATGAAATCATGCGTGGGACGTGTGAGGCACCTTGTTTCTCCAGGACAGAAACTTAGAAGGTTATAACTTTCTAACTTTTTGTTCTGAAGGGCGAAGATCATCTTGAATAAGTTGGAAAATGATCCTGGAATAATATATATATATATATATATATATATATATGAACTTTATTTAATTCCTTCACGAGCTTCCGATCCTTAGCTATGATTAATTAATGATGAACATTTCATTTTTCATTCATGATCGATTTCATCACAATTCTTCTGTTAAGCTTGTGTAATATACATTCTTATTGCTCAAAGTAGAGTCCAAAAGTGTTATAAAGACCAAAGAGAATTCCAGTAAGATATCTTTAATCATTTCTAAGATACAACGGTTCAAAGCTTAATCTAAGAATTGGACAAATTTGCGGATACCTGATTGGTACATTTTTGCTGTTAGACCCGGTATATAAGCAAATGATAAAATAGCTAACGTTTCTACCATTTTCTATCACTTTCACAGCTCATACGGTTAGCAATCGTCAAGTGGAAAAATATTAGTAGGATATAGACTGATTGGTCGGATTAGAAATAAAAAAATCCATTATTTCTTCAGAAATATACAGGGCGTGGCAAATGATGCGCACCGTAGGGATAATTTATTAAAATTACCCATGAAAATTTTATTTACTAGTTGCTAGTTATATGTGCTGTTCAAAATGTCCTTCTTCTTCAAAACACATTCATTAACACATCGGAGAGTTTCCTCTGTCATTTTACTGCATTCATAATTAATTCTTTCTTTGGGTTCCTCAATATTTCTTGGACGCGTCTGATAAACAAGCGATTTCGAATGACACTACAGAAAAAATACAAGGGTATGAGGTCTGGTGACTTCGGTCGCCAATAAACAGGGCCTATCAAAACAAATTAGACATTTAAAACATGATTAACTAATTAATCCCTATAGTTCGCGACTGTTTCCTTATACTGTATATATAGGAATCATACCGACTGGTTCAGTTTTATACCCTGT